GAAATAGTCACAATTAGTATAGACCCATCAATATATTTTTGATAATTTTTCATGTATGGTAAAAGTTAAAGTGGCAAACTGATATCCTGATATAAAAATTAATGTTTTGAGTGTCAATGTGGGAAGATAGGAGGTTTTTAGACTTTCTTAAAAGACTTTGTTAAAATTTTAGGACAAAATTTTCTTGACATCATTGTTTGATCTAACTTTACACTCTTTGATAATAATGTTTTAGAAAATATGCGCCATCACAATTGGTAGTTACAGCCTCTGTTAACACAGACAATATGTTTTAAAGCTTCATGTATGCCTGTTTTGACACAAATCTGTGGAAGTATCATGTGTTAAGTTCTCCTTGTCTCCCTTTGTTCATTTACAGCTAAGTGACTTTGTTATTAAAGTATATGCATATATGGAATCTTGTGTACTTGGTGGTGGTTGTTTTTTTCTTCTTTAAGTTTTTGTTTTAGTTAAGTGGGAGAGCATTGTTATATGAGATGTGATTACAAATTAGAGAGTCTATAAACCGCATGTAGCCATTCTGAATGAAGGAACAACTTCCAATATGTAGTAAAATAGTATTTTTCAAAATTATTCCAGATAAGATTACTATCTTCCAAATACTTTGTACTTTCAAAAATAGGTATCTGCAAGAAGGATTTAAAACCAAAGAGATTTTTTTCAGGTAATGGGGCTTATAACTATGAGTTAGTCACTACAATTAATAATGTGGGCTCGAGTCAAAGGCCAGGATCTGCAACTCATTAGCTTTGAGATCTTGAGCAAGTTATTAACCTTCTGTGCCTTCTTTTTTGTCTTTGAAATGGAGGGGAGAGTAGTATCTCCGTCATACTACATATGAAATGCTCGTGACAGTGCCTGGCACACGGTAGGGAACTCACTTAAGTGTTAGCTGCAGGGCTGCCGTGCTGTGTAGCTCCCTGGATTGTGTAGGGCACAGTCTGCTTAGCTGTATGCTCTAGCTCTGGGTAGCCATCATTATTTTCATTACTATTATTATCCCATTCCTGTCTCTTGTAGGCAAGTTTTTGTCTTTTGGAATTCCAATCTTTTATTTTTTTATTTTCCCAGTCTTCAGTTGTGATAGATGTTCAGTGAGATAATTGTATCAAAAAGTAAAGTAAGAGTCATTTGAATCCAAAATCCAGAAACAGTAACATTTTTATATGATGAGCATTTTAAAAAGTATCCTAGATAGTGGATTAATACTAATTGATAAGGTCCATTACTGAGAAAAGAAAAAAGTATGCCTTATCTTCTTTCACCACTGTTAATAAGGAGTGATATTTTTGCTGTTTTTCATGATACTTGTATATAACAAGCTACTCTTTAGACCGGATTGTACCGTACAGCACTGAGCAATTCATAGACCTAGGATTTACCATCACCATCCAGGGGAATAAAAGATTCCGTTTTAATGAGAATAAATATTTTAGTAAACATTGTTTCAGCATAGGCACTGATATTTTGTTTTAAACATAGGGCTGTTTGGTTTTTAGGGGGTTTTTTGCAAAGCTTTTTCAGTTTGGTTTGAATTGTAAATAAAAAGAATCACTGAAAGGGAAAGACAGGTAGCAGTCGGTGTGTTCCAGTTGAGTAGATGTTTGAATGCAGTGGTTTCCCGTAACTAGAGGAGCTAGTGTTCTGAAAATCCTGCTTGTGGCTGAGGGATTTAAGGCCTTTTATTCATTCAAGAAATTATATCTTGAAATCTTATTACCAAACGTGTTCTGTTCTAGCATCTTGGAAAAAATGAGTTGAGGAAACCAAGCTTTTGAAAGAACCTACATAAAGTCTTTGTTTTTACATTCACTTGAAATAAATTAGTAACTTGGGATATAAAAGACCAGTAACAGTATTATTTCTAATGCATCTCTTAAGTACTAGAAACTTTAGGATCTCCCCACAATTTCAAACATGTTTGTAATTTTTGTATGTGTGTAATATGCATTATACTGGCTTCTTTCCTCCGTCTCTCCATCCAAGTGTTGTTGTTTTCCCCCCCCCTGGTTGTATTGTCCTAGAAATTCACTAAATATTTGGAATGGAAAAAACTTCAGGTAGCATTTAGTTATTATTACAGTTGACAGAGCTGACTTGGTCAGTTTCAAGTTTTGATTACAATGCACAGGGTAATAGGTATTACCATTTCTTACACAAGTCTGTGGAACTCTGGTACAAGCTAAGCTGCCAGCTCCCTAGTGTACATATCTGCTCCCTCCCTCCTGAGCAGTGACTGCAGCATGCAGTTGTAAGGCGCTTGAGTTTACTACATTCCTTGACTTCCTTCTCTTCTCTGTAACCTACTCCAATTCCTTTTCCTAAATGCAGTGAAACATTTTGTTTGGTGCGGACCCCAAATCCTTATATCGCAGGAAAAAGTGTTCAATAAAGCCATGAGTAATAGAATTTTTATTTAAGGGTAACTCAGGGGAAGAAAGGTTACTGGACAATCACTCCCTGACCTCATCATATGCATTAGCTACTCATTTAATTCTAGAATGTCCTGGAGACCAAAGATGATCCTGAGAGAAGGAGCTAGGATTCTTGTTGCTAGTCTGTGTAATTTAAGGTGCAGATGTTGGTCCCTCTCAAAAAGCCTGTTGAGCACAAAGTGAATATTAAGGGTAGACTCAAATTAGCATTTTCTGAGCTCCTATCATGTGCCAAATATTGTTCATAGGAAAATAAATTCTTAAGTATTCACAAGAAGTTCACGAGGCGAGAGGGCAGTCTGGAAGAATTACAGTGGTGTGAGTTCAGGCTGTTAGAACTGTGCACAGTGTGCACAGACCTCCAGCCTGGGAAAATCACAGCTTTCCTGACTCCAGCTCTACACAGGAGCATAGGACAACTAGGCAGGGTGGGGGCACCCTGTCTTTGGAAATATTTAACTGTACTTGGGATTAATCATGTTATCGATTGTTAATGTCTTTGTCCTCCACTGTCCTACATGTAAACTCCATCAGGACAGGGAATGTACTTTTAAAACCCCCTTTGTCTTGTCCACCGGTGTCTTCTCATTGCGGTTTCACATGCTTGGCACTTAATAGGCATACCATAAATATTTGTTGATTGATAGATAAATGTGAGAATAAATGGGATGGACACTGAGACTGGCTTTAAGGAGAAATTAGTTTATAAGGTGAGCATCACAGGTAATAATTAGAATGGAACTGGACAGTTTGTCGGAAAAAACAAGTGTTCCAGGTGAAAGCAGCAGGAGAGAGGCTTTTATTTTTTTCAACGTTTATTTATTTTTGGGACAGAGAGAGAGAGACAGAGCATGAACGGGGGAGGGACGGAGAGAGAGGGAGACACAGAATCGGAAACAGGCTCCAGGCTCTGCCATCAGCCCAGAGCCTGACGCGGGGCTCGAACTCGCGGGGCTCGAACTCACGGACCCGCGAGTTCGTGACCTGGCTGAAGTCGGACGCTTAACCGACTGCGCCACCCAGGCGCCCCGGAGAGAGGCTTTTAAAGACGAATCAGACAGTCGCTGACTACTGGGGGCGGGTGG